TACATTTTGTTCCATATAAGACTGTAGGCTTGCCCTCTGCTATATTCAACTCTGTTTTCATGAAATATGTAGGGACTTGGCATGTTTGAAACTGCGAGTTTTAAGTGCAACTGGGCTCAGAATAGCCAGGAGTTACTTGCAAAGGGGGGACAGACAGCCACACAAGAACACACATGTGCAGAGCATGACTGCATCATCGTAATTTCCATAGAAGCTAAAAATAAATAAGCACAAAAAGTCTGATTTCACTGCACAGTGTCTTCCTTAATTGTGAAAATTCAGCTGGGCTAGAAACCGAGTTAACCACATTTTAATGCTAAGCATATCTGAAGACTCATGCTGTAAGCCTAAGGCAAGTCTGTTCTCAGCAAGCAGGCTCCGCACCGGGCACTGGATGCAGCCACAACAAATCATCTTCCTTTGCACAACTCAGTCCTGAAATGGGTTGCAAAGACCATGCACACTAGGGCATAAGTGTGGAAAAGCATTAAATGCAATCACCATCTCTAATGAAAATATGGACTGCTGGTGATACAGACCTGTTCCTTTTGCCCCTGGCAAGAAACTCAGGACACATCCTCTTCAGAAATCCCTGGCCATGTTACTGAAACACATGGACTTCTCAAATTCTGTCAGAAAGTGCACAGCTCTTTTTTTCCAGATCTTAGGAGCTTAAAAACACAGAAACAAAATTATTCTGTGAGGAATAATCTGGAGTCCAGGGTTCCTATGGTTCCATTGCATACTCAACAATAGCTCAGCAACAGATGCTGTCTGTAGGAACTCAGCGTATGTACGGCTCAGAGGAATTTTCACTGGAGAAAATCGACTGCAGTGTGAAAGTTGTTGGAAAGCTCATGTTCATTGTGTGGGAAGGGAAGAAAGGTTCCCATGTCTCCACCACAGCTTCTACCAAATCACAGTTGGTCTTAACTGCTCTGAATGGATCCTATTGCCTAGGTGTCTGGGTTTCAGAGGAAAAGTTAATTGTTTTTCTGTCCAAGGAATGTGGATGACTTTTTAGATTGTGATCACTCAAACTGGATCCTGCTGCTCCTCAGGGGCTAAAGAGCTCTCCTTTCTGCTTGACTATTGGCCAACTAAAATCACTTTTGTTTGAGGAACAGGGAAGGGCCAGAACTGTGACCTGTGAAACAGTTCTGTGGCTTATAAATGCCAGCAGAGAGAGGCTGGGCCCAGCAGGGCAGCTGCCTGTGGAAACTTGACCAGACAGTGAGCAAAACGTCAACTCTTCTTAACAAAGGAATCGCTAGACTGCTGTTTAAAGAGAGGAAGTTCTCAAGTAGGTATTTTGTCATTTAAGTAACATTCTTCCCTACTGAATGCAGGCTTCATCGCAGCATTTCCTACTATTGTTGCCTAGCATCTGGATTACTGCAGCTCCCCTCCAGGGGGCTGGCGATACAGATTCTCCAAAAGCTTCAAGCACGTAATGAGATTACTCCCTTAGCAAGGAGAATTTCCCGGAGGGGGAGCACATTGCACCAGTGTTCCACAGCTTGTCCAATCTGCCAGCAATAGCCAAGAACAAAGCTGGTTCTTGAATCTACAAGGATCTGCAAATTCATGTGGCCCACAATGTGTAGCAGAAGTTTGGCGAGGCTCTGCCACAGCACTTGCATGCAGATGATGTGCTTTGGATAACAAAGTCTAAGAAGAGCTAGGCTGCAATTTGGCAGGAAATTGAGCCAACCTAGCAGATTGGTGTTGCCAACAGGCTATGGCCCTACTCCTGCCTCCCCCCTTCACCCTTCACCCCCTCCTGCTCTCAGGTGGGCCTCTTGCCCCTTCTCTAGAATTACTAGGTGACTGTTCATCCAACCAAGCCAGATGACCAAGAAAGCTGACTCAGCTCCTAAGCCAAATAGATCACTCATTCTTCTGCTGGCTTTGTTTTCTGATGTGCTAAGCAAGACAGACTGACCCACACTTAAACTAAGTGCAAGATGAATGCTGGAGTTGGTGCAAGGCAAGTATTAATGGCATGTTCCTGTGGGGGAGGAGATGCAGGAGAAAAAAAGATGAGCAGCCCCCTTTTAGCAGCAGCAAGCTGTTAAATTGCATTCAGCACCACTTGAAACCCCACCCTTGGGCCTTGCTCATTGCCAAGTCTTTTTTTTTGGAATTGCAAAACCCTACAGTGGGTGATATCTCATCTATTTTGGGACTCAGTGTGCAGTTCAAACAGATTTATTTTACAGGAGGCATGGATGATGGCAACCCACTGGGCAGATAACAGCCCAAACTGTACCTTGGAGTATGATTCAAACACAGCATAAGCTGCTCTAAATTTGGGCAACTGCTGCCTCATTGGCCTCCCTCCTCACTCACATATTTCTTCCTTTCCCACATGTTTTCGCCTTGTGTCTTCCATGGCTTTGGTGCCCATAGAACCAGAAGACTAACCAAGCTCAGGGAGCTAGTCTAGCTAGAATCTAACCTGTCAGAAAGTGGTTTGTTTCCTCAGGGATCTGTTTTCTGAATCAAACCACTGCACAAGTCCATCTCATGTGAGTGAAGGGTACAAGCATTTAGCTGATGGCATAAGCAAGGGAGAAAAAGAACAAAAGGGGAAGAGTCATAAGGGAGGCAGGCTCAGTACTTATCTCTAGACAGGTACTCAAGGACTGTAATTCATGAGCTGGACTTGGGCATTTCTCTCTCCTTCCAGGAACAGAGGGAGTAAGGCAGCAGTACATCCTTTTCCTAGCAACAAAACCTCTGAATAAGGGATAGCAGCATCTGTTGAAAACAGTCAGTGGGAAATGAGAGGGCAGAGGAGAGTTGAGATTCTTCCTCTTCTCAGGTTTAGACTTCTATGTGTGTGAGACTGGAACATATTTTGAGCCCTCCTTCCTTACATCCTCTTCTAGATTTAGGTAAGTAGCTCTTGCCCAGGATAACAAATGTGTCTTGCTGAAAAATGGCCTCCAAGGAGAAATATGTAATGGTTTGAATATCCACCCAAACAAAAAAAGAGATTAGGGCTCTCCTCAGAGGGAGGGTGCTCAGATCTGCAGCTCCTGTCTTCTCAAAGGGGAGTTTCTCAGGCCAGAGCTAGGAGGCTAAGCTGCATGAGCCTTCCCTCCGACAGTGAAGACCACTGGACAAAAAAGCACTGAGGAATTACAAAGCCAGGAAAAGCACAAGTAATAATAGGAAGCCCAACACTGAATCGTAGTTATAGAGGAGCTCCCCTGAGTGATTGAAGTCTTAGGCACCAGTACTTGATTCCAGCATAGATTACATTTTTTTATGCAGTAACTCCTCAAAGTAAAATACGTAAGCAAATCTAGGGGCAGGGCTATAGGGAAGGTATTAATTCTCCTTACTCACTAATTCCTTTGAGTTTTCAAAACACAAGACATTTGTACAGTTGCTAATAACATGCTGTAAATGCCCAACAGCTCCAAGCAGAAGAGAGAATCAATGCTTTGTTATTCTAGGAAAATAGATGTGTATTTTAACTGTAGTCATAACAAAGGATGCTTCAAGCATTCCTCTACATGCCAGTTGGGTTGTTTTTCTCCTCACAGATACTCATATCCCTGCAGTCCGTAATGTCCTTCTGTGTTCATATGTGATGCATTCTGACAGGGTTTTTTACAGCTGAAATTTGATATTTCAAGAAATCCATTCTCAGTCTGGCTTTGAATATAGTACGTGAAGTTACTTCAGCTTCCGCATCACTTTCCATTTTATTTTCAGCAAACGCTGGATAGCATATTCCTGTGAATGTGTGAAACTTCAAATTGGAAAGGAATTTTTTCAGTTCTCCTTCTATTAAAAGAAGTTTGTCATCTCTACAAAAGACAGAGGCAATGCGGTTTGACTGAGGGTTAGGTTCCTTTCCCACATACTGTTAGTTCTGAAAGATTAGTGCATGTCAGGTGTTTGGAAGTGATCACATGATGTTGATATTCCACCAGGAGGTAGGATTGCCAGAGGTCAGTCTGAAACTTGGGACGTTTCATGGGTTCTCCTGCTAACCTACCTCTGATGTTCAGATGTTGAAACAAACCACAGCATTTTGTTTTGATAAAAACAAACCTTGAGGGAATAGGGTACATGGGATTAACAGCAAATACTTGTATGAGGACTGAAATAAACAGACTAAAATTGCATAAAGAAAGCAAAACTAAAGTTTCTCTGCAAAGGTTTCAGGGTTTGAAGATTTTTAAGTTTTAAGGGCAGAACTTATCAAAGTCTGAAACTTTTTCTAACTGCTTAAGTCAGTTATTTCCTTGCATAAATAATCTTTAAAAATTGTATCGAGTCCTCCTCTTCTTTACAAACTCTGTAGCATTAGGCTACTATTTGTAAAAGCACTATTCCCTCCAAATTAAATTATACAGTTCTCATTTTCTTGGCACCTGTGTTCAGGCCAGGAAGAGTAGCAGGGTGAGAAGCAGGATTGTGGATTTAGGATTTTATGTCTGCAAAGTCTGGCACAGTCCTCTCCTGTCAGACTGCACCTTGATACCTGAGTTTTGTGTTTTGGTGAGAGAGAGGCAACTGTTTGTCCATGAAGATGACACAAACAAAAGCACTTGTGAATTCACAGGACAGGAGTTCTGTGTGGGTCCCTAACAAGCAAGGGACACCTTTGCAAGGCACCTGATAGCCTGAGAGAAGTATAAATCCCTTAGGGATATGACAGCCTTTTCAGAGAGACATAACCAAGTTTGTTTATGAAATACCTATGTTTCCTGAAAAATCAATTTTAAAAACTGTATTCAAAGACAGTTGTTGTGAGTTAACAGAAATAGAAGAACTGAAGTTTCTGAAACATGGGGCATGTGGCTACATGAAGAATGTCAGTCCGGAACACCCGACAGTATGATCCTTGCCTGGGAGCCTTGAAGAATGTGTCATGGTTGTCTTTTGGCTTGAGTTTATTTCCCATGAAACAAAAGTGTGAAGAAGTGGGTGAGGCAAAAAGATAGGCTGGTGTACACCCAAGGCTCACCCTGACGTACCAGAGACATGTGTCTGGATTTTGGATTGGCCTGGAGGCACTCCTCCATGGTAGTGCTGGAGTTCAGACAAATTCCATTACATTCTTTGATTTTCCTTGCAGTCATATGTAACTGAAAGGTAGAGTCAGTGGTGGCAGGGAATAGGCTAGTATAGTGCCATCTTCAGCACTGACAATTAATCTATACTGGCTGTGGAGGGAGTCTGATGTGTTGGGTGAATGTGGGAGGATACTATTCTGTGACAGTGAAGTGATCACATTAAAACCAACCCAGTTAGTCTAGACAGCTTCCCACAATTCTATAAGCATTGTGCCTGCATCCATGCTGGATGCCATTCCATGCTTGAGAAAATGTTCCAGGAAGAGTAGAACTGTACTGTTTTACAGGAAAAAATGTCACAGCTTGGAAGGCTGGGTATATAGAAGCACTTGGCAGAGTTCTCAGCATCTAGAATAAATGTGTCCCTGAGTACTCTATCCTGCAAGACTGGAATCTGACAGGTACTGTATATTCAGGCCACTATCTACCAAACAGCTTAGATATGTGCTTAATTGCAAGCAACAAGTCCAAAGCTTAAAGCTAAACACAGGGAGAGGCATGCTATTGAACCAAGGGCAAAAAAGCTCAGCACTTCACAAGGTTCAACCCTTGGCAAAACTGAACCTTAATTTCTCCAAGTACCATAATTGTTCACATGTCTTTGAGGCTTGAATTTGGAAATGACGGTGACTGTTATTTCAAGGTGTATGACTCAGGCCCTGAGTAACCAGAACAAGATCAGAGACAAGGGACAATTAGAAGCACAAGGGATACTGCAGGGGAAGAAGCAGACAACTGAGTAAGAGGGATCCCTGGCGTGAACTCCTTGCCACACTACCTGAAAATGTCTATAACTCAGTGCTACGTCATCCTTTTCATTGCCGACTTTATTACCAGATAATCTAAATGTGATTTATGAAGCACCTGGCGACAAGAACTACATATGATCCTAGCCAGGCCACCTTCCCTCCTACTGTAATGTCTGTTTCTCTTACTGGGGTGGGGCAGACCAGGTCAGGGATTATAAAAGGAATTTGGTGAGGTTAAGATAAACAACATGTAAATTATTCTCCTGTCATTATGCTTTTCAGGGTCTGTAAAAACATGACAGATTGCGCTGGTTGTTCTTCATATTCTGTATTCCACAGGGCATTTTGCATATATGCTTTATGTGCCCAAGTTCATGCCTACGAAGTGGCTCTTAATGAAGTCTTTTCCAATGCTACTGTTGACATATATACAACGTACAAAATTCTGACAAGCAGCTTGGATCTGAGCAAGATTCTGTGTCCTTACAAGGCACAAGAGACAATTACTGGCAGAATAAGCTTAAATTAAACAGGCAAAACACCCAGAATAATTTCAGAACGCCCTGGATATCAGTGATACAAATATTTTAAATATGTATGAACACTTGGCAGATTATTTTAATTGACTGCCACGTATCTAGCATAAGGTAGCACAGTAAGACTCTATGGCTTTTAATGACCTCACGTCAATACTCTGTTGCAGTTTGAGATAAAAAGGACACATGACACAAGTAAACATGAACTGTAGCTAGGATTTGTCTATCAGAGGGAGGTGTGGTGTGAATTCAAGATGTGGTCTCTGGTTCTGCATTGACAGCACTGATGAATAGCTTAATCTGTTTTGGAAGCAGATGAGGTGACTCTCTAAAGAACTCTTTTGGCCACCTGAAAGTATCCACATCGGTTTCTAGAGAAGAATGACTGCTCAATGTGCTTTCAGTATCTAGATTTGTGGATGATTAAAACTATGAAAATAACTCCTCACCTGGTCCTACGACTAACCCTTGAATCTGCCAGCACTTACATGAAGAGCAGGGTTCTGTTCCGCATGGTATGTTACGAGTCCAAATTAATGGCACAGTCCTGAAGTAGAGATCCATGCAAAGAATCACAGAATATATGGGGTTGTAAGGGACTTTTAAAGATCATCTAGTCCAGCTCCCCCTGCAGTGTGCAGGGACCTTTTTGACTGGAACAGGTTGCTCAGAGCCTGGTCGAGCCTGACCTTGAATGTTTCCAGGGATGGGGTCTCCACCACTTCTCTGGGCAACCTGTTCCAGTGCTTCACCACCCTCATTGTAAAGAACTTCTTTCTAATATCATACATGCAATTGTACAGCCTGCTAGGGACAGACTACTACTGATCGTAATAGTCTTTTCCCAGGCTTAATAGCTATGAACTCTCCCCTCATTTCACATGGAACCAACATTGTTAGTAGTTTGTTAGCTTTCAGAAACTCCCGTGGGATCCTGCTTAGCTGCTGAGTACAAGTCATTCTTTAATTGCTTTTGGAATAGTTTATCATACTGTTTTCTCAGCTGCCTATAAAAGCTTGCCTCACTTCTCCCAAGACTCATCTACTTTACCTCTACTCATCTCCAACTGCTAGGAGAGAAACCACTTCTTTCATTTTTGCTCTTGTATGTTTCTCAATAAATCTTCCTTTTTAACTTCACCCTAGAACTCAGTCCTCACAGGTCATTTAAGCCAGCTATGCCTGTTTCTGGATTGTGTTCTGCTCTTTCTGAATCTCATAGGCAGAAACTGATATAAAATACCTGTAGTTGCAGGTATTTGAAAACCTGCCTGGAAACTGGATGACTGTGAAGCAGGTGAAAATCCCAGTAGCATCATAGAGGTCAGAAGGTGAACTCAACCAGTTAAAAGATAGGTAACCTAGCCTAACTAGGAAGAGATGACAGCTTTATCTTTAGCAGGAAATGGGGCACAATAGAAGGATGAGGGAGGTGTGGGAAGAGAATTGTCCTAAGTAAATTGCAACTCCAGCCTAGCAGGAATTCAGCATGTGGGAGAGCAGGGACTGTTGCTGTCATTGCTGCCCTTGAATTTTTTTGTGAGGGGAAGTAAACAACTCTACATTTCAGCATGGCTTCTGTAGAAGCATGTGTGGGTGTCCCAGCAGTATTTGGTAAACAGGTTACAGCAAGAGCTGCAAGGAAAATAAGATTTATTTTTTTTTCCAAATAAACAAATTTAATTTAATGAAGACTCAAAATTAATATGTGTTGGGGGGTTACCCCAGGAGTCTCATTATCGCTAATTGGATGTTTTATTTCATGAAGTAGTCAGTGTTAACTTTTAGCTTGGTGAGGGAAAAGATCTCATATTTTATTGCTCCCAAATTTTCCTTTATTCCAGGGAACACTTGGCAGGATTGTGACTATCTCTAGTGGCCAAGCTGTCAAACAAGCTTTTCCCTTTCAAAGGACATTCTTTTTTTCCCCTCCCCTCACTATCCAGGGCCAGTTTTGATTCTCTTTCCCAGTCAATACCTCCTACTTCACAGGCAGCACCGGTCCCCAACAAGCCCTCCAGCAGACTGAAAGCTGTGCTTCTTTCTGCCTGGGTGACTTCCTGTCTTGGGGGCTCTGTGCCCAAATTTACACCAGCAGAAATCAGTGCAACTCAGGTTTAATATAGCTCAAAGCTGAGCTCATTTTGTGCTGGAACAGTCTGGAATGGCATACCAAACTCTGGCATGGTTTTGGCCATATGTACTAATGTTTCACACTCCTTCCACAAAATAAATAAATAAACTAACAAATAAATAAATTTGGCTCATAGTATTATCTATATTTACCTCATCTTTAACCTATTCTAGAATTACACTGGCTAAGCAAAACCCCCCTTTTTTTTTTTTTTTTTTCCCCGTCTCCTCAGTCTAAAATAGGTATCCAACATAAGTGAGCAGATAAATAAAGATTTCTTTCAAAATAGCAATATGAAATGGATGATTTATGAGAGGCATATAGAAATATTAATGGTGTAAAGACAGCCTGACAAATAAGCGATGACTATTCTCATCTCCACAGGCCAAAGTACAGCTGTGGCATCTTTCCAAGCAGTGCTCAAGATGTTTGATTTCTATTGCAGTTGATATTTGACAGAAAGGATTTCATTTTTGCATTATCTAGGGGAAGTGGAAATCAGTATTTGTTCTGGCCTTTTGTCTACTTGCTCTCCTTGCTTATTGTCCTCCCTTTTTAATTTTACTGTTTGCAATGTTTTACTGCACAGGGTCAGACACCTGAAAGCCTTCAGGAGTTACATATCTTATGTAGTCAATATTTTCCATTATTATTTTAAGGTATGATATACCAGACCTTTACCCACTGAACACTCGATACTTAGTGGCTGAAACATGTAAGTAAGAAGACAGTTGAAAAGCACTGTAGCCTGGAAAAGGTACGGACTGAAATTGAAATATCTATCTTCTTTGGACTTCTTACATGAGGTTCTCTACAGCTCAACTTCCAAGTTCCAAAGTGATTCTTTGGTTCAGGAAAAATTAGGTAGTAACAACAGGAGTTGGTAAATAACAATAGTTTGTTGGAAGTAAAGGCTTTGCAACAGAGGAATCCTCAGCCTGAATTTCATGTAACTAGGGATGAGTCCTACCCCTCTTTCTCCCCTCTGGCCACATAGTCCTTTATGTCTAGTGACCTAGTCCTGAAATCAGCTCCTTCAGTGAGCTCATCTGACAAAACAAATCCACCCGAAAAATTATGGTCTTCCATTGAGCTCGTTTGCTCACCTGATTCATTCTGGACCTCACATAAGGGGGAGTGATACACAATACATGGCTGGAGCAAGATGGAGAAGACTGCACTTTTCAGCATTAGCCCACGGTCATACTAAATTAGTTACAAAATTGAACTCTGAAGGCATGGTTCCATGCAATAAGGTTAGGTTTTATTCAGTAACCAAGAAAGAAATTAACACCCCCTCAAATTTAATATTCCCCAGTCTTGTAATTAAGTTCAAGTGGCTTATGGAAACATATGGCAAACACTTGTCAGTGTTGGTGAACTATTAGATCACCTCAGCTGCTCATGGGTCTGTCTATAGGAATCGGTTTACTCTACAGATCATCACTTAACAACCCATTCTGGAAGAGACAAGACTCAACAGAATAATGTAAGGTATTTTTTGCTTGTGCTCACAGATTTTTAATAATAAGTTCAGTACGCCATTGAAAAGACAATCTGAAATGAAAGAGCTCTGAAATATCTAATACTCTCACTGAGGATGGAAAGAAACATTCATGGCCACATAACGTAAAATGTTCTCAGACTACAGAAAAAAACTGGGAACAAAGCTTAGTTATTCAGGAGGGGCATGACCTTTAAGAAGCAGATCTGGCTCAAACCCAACACAACACTATGAAAAAAGTTTACTCAGAGGAGAGAAGGCCAAAAGTACTGAACAACTGAAGAAACAGAGGAACCAACAGTAGGGAAACAAAGGCTCTGTTGTTTTGTATGGGCATTTCAGAAACCTATTCAGCAAACTATTCACTAAGTCTTAAACCAATGGGCCCATGGGGCAAGTTTGGGGCATGAGCCTATTTCACCCATTCTTTCCCTTTGTCCTGAAGAGATGACCCGCCTGACACAGTCAGAATGACTTTCTGTGTATTGGCACAGGAACGCATTCCCTTATGCCTCTTGTCTCACCCTGTCCCCCTGCATAGGGGCAGGAGCACAAGTAAGTCTCTGCCAATGGACCTGCACTTCACAGCCACCAGTGGGTTAGGACTGGGCAGTAGAAAGCAGATGGATGTCCCTGTTGCCTGGAAGTGGGGCAGCAGTTTGAGCAGTGGGGAGAGAAAGGGATCTGCTGCAGGGAACTACTGGTGGTATTGGCCTGGTTGGGTGGAGCTGTGAAGAGGGAGGGAGGGTTCTTGGGCACAGGAGAAGATCAGCCTACAGAAACCTCCCGTAGCAGATACCAACCCGTCGGCTTGTCAGTTTGGGTGTCCTCTGAAAGCCACAAGCTTTTCATTCAAGTGAAACCAGTATTATGGCCCTGTAACATATCAGAAGTACTTCAGGTCTAAATAATCCAGATGTCAAAATGAATATGACAAAGAAAATGATTTAGTGGAAGGGTTGCTTTGTTTTCAAAGCTGCTATTTCTTTCTGTTTATGCACCCATACAGGCATTAACAAATCAGTGAACTGGATGCACAACCAGACAGCATCACTGATTACATCTTTCTTGGAACAAAATCATGGAAATATGGGGGAAAAACAAAAGCAAGGAGAAGTTGTTTAAAGGGCAGAACTATTTGATGAGATTTTTATCTGCTATGTAGTTTGAAGAGAATTCCCAAACTGTCTACAATGAGAACGTTGAGGGTTGTTTTATATTGTAAATTAATTTTAAATAACTCCTGTTGGCAGAGTTATCTTCATCTCGGGGTTGCCAAATCTCATTGCTTTATCACAAATCTCAAAATGCTGAATTGCTTATTTAAACTGTAATGCAAAGAATCACTGACTAATGAGTTTCTTGACTTTTTTTGTTTTTTAAAAATAAGTGTAAATTTCTCAGGGACATACTTATTGCAGAAAGTAAAAAGATAAGCAGAGTAAATATCAGAACAGTCAGGGATGTTACCATTCATCTAGTGCTTTCTCTAATCAGGAGAGAAGGGAATCTCTGTTTGCTGTCCCGTCTTGCAGCTGCCAGCAGAAGGACATGGAATCTAGGGGCTCCCTGCTCTTCTGCAGACACTGCTTATAAATCCTGGGCCCTGCTCAGCGTTTACTCCGTGCTTCCTCATCTGCTCTCCACCCTGGCTTCTCTCAGTCTCTTCACATTACTGAAAGTCTCATCCATATGAAAAACTCCACTGGCTTCACTCGTGACCCCACCCCAGAGCGAGAGGCCTGTTCACAGCACCGGCCCATACACAGCAACGTTTTAAAAATCCACAACAGTCTTTTTAAATTAAAGCTCGACTGCTGGCAGGGTTGGGGGCCAGATTTGCATCTGTTTCCTGCCCCAGTCATTGTCTCCAGACCTCTGTCACGGATGCAAAGCTGCCTGGAGTCTCCACGCAGAGGGAGGCCTGCAGGCCAGGCAGGGCCTCGGAAAGATAAGCAGAGTAAATATCAGAACAGTCAGGGATGTTACCATTCATCTAGTGCTTTCTCTAATCAGGAGAGAAGGGAATCTCTGTTTGCTGTCCCGTCTTGCAGCTGCCAGCAGAAGGACATGGAATCTAGGGGCTCCCTGCTCTTCTGCAGACACTGCTTATAAATCCTGGGCCCTGCTCAGCGTTTACTCCGTGCTTCCTCATCTGCTCTCCACCCTGGCTTCTCTCAGTCTCTTCACATTACTGAAAGTCTCATCCATATGAAAAACTCCACTGGCTTCACTCGTGACCCCACCCCAGAGCGAGAGGCCTGTTCACAGCACCGGCCCATACACAGCAACGTTTTAAAAATCCACAACAGTCTTTTTAAATTAAAGCTCGACTGCTGGCAGGGTTGGGGGCCAGATTTGCATCTGTTTCCTGCCCCAGTCATTGTCTCCAGACCTCTGTCACGGATGCAAAGCTGCCTGGAGTCTCCACGCAGAGGGAGGCCTGCAGGCCGGGCAGGGCCCCGGGAGCGCTCGAGGGACAGCCCAGGCAGAAGGAGCTCCTGGGCCTGTCTGACCTAAAGCTCGGGTTTTAGTTACGTTTTCATTATCAGGCACTTTCTTCAGCCATCAGCAAAGCGCCGTTTCATCCTCCGTCTGATAAAAAGCACCAAAAAGGATTTTTTTTGGACATCGGGACCTCTCAAAAATCGAGCTAAAAAAATCAAGGCGTAATTCGGTCACAAGCCCTTTCTCTGCAGTTTGTTTGCAGCGCCTTTAGGCTGCATCTGAATCTCATCGAGAGGCTCTCCCGTGGAAATCCAGCGAGCGGAAAGGCGTTCAGAAGAGCAGCAAACTCCTTGCGTCACCCCCCAGCTCCAGCAGAGGGCGCCTTACAAACACGCAGCGGGCCTGGTGGCCTCCTTGCCCCTCCCACCCACGGGGAGCGCCGAGCCCGCGGGAAGGGAGGGGAAGGTGAAAGGGAAAGGGGAAGGGGAAGGGGAAAAGGGGGAAAGGGGGAAAGGGAGGAAGGGGAAGGGGAAAGGGAAAGGAAAAGAGAAAGGGAAAGGA